GCCTTTAACAAATACCTTGAAAAAACACATGAACAGGCTCACTTCATCACAGATCTGACTGCAACACTTTATTTTAGGGTGCACTTATTAACATCTAACTACCTGCTAATTAGCGCAGTTGTAAATGGTTAATTTGTTATTAATTAGTTTTTTATTTAACCCTTATTAAAGTCTAATTCTCCATAAGCTTATTCTGCTATTAGATAGACATTTACAAACACTTTCCTATTAATACTTTGGTAACACTTTATAATAACTACACATTATTTTGCCTTAATAATGCATGAACAAAGACTTAATAAAGCATGAACAAAGACTTAATTAATAATGATTCACGCTTAGTAAATGCTTAATAAAGGATAATTAGTTTTCACTTTAGAAAAGCTCTCAAAAAGACTTAAAGGTTGTATGGAGGATTTTTTAGTTTTTGTTTCAAATTGTCATTGAAAGTTTAAAATACCATCACAGAGACACAGCAGATTTGTAATTATGATGACCAAAAAAAAAAAGAACGAAAATCTATCAAATCTGCACGTGTTGAGGCCAGATAAACATCAGCCAATAGAAAACAAGGCTGCCTCATTTTCTAGTTAGGTGATTAGGATTTCGCGGTTTATGCGGCGGTTCTTAGAGGCTTTTTTAAAACTGTAGCTTCTTCGTATTTCGCACAAAGTTTGTTGCGATGGCGGACGAGAATCCACGACCAGTTCGCCGCTAAAGAAAGTCCACTGTTGAGGTCGCTGAAAGAAGAAGAGAAGAGGAAAAGGAGTAAAGACAAACTGAGGTGATTCTTGGAGTGATGGTGCGACTGAAGCAGACGAAGGGTCTAAAAACTGACATGTCGGTTGCTAAATTACTCCTAGGCAGTAATTCTGAACACGCACGGCTGTAAACGAGCGTGATTTCTAGAGTAAAGAGGCGGGAGGAGGAGGTGTGGAGGAGGAAGGTGGTGTCATACATGCACAACATTTAAAAAAGGACTGTCACTGTGTTTCTTTTCCCTTAAAAAATCCTCTATACAACCTTTAACTAACAGATAACAGCTGCCTGAATTATCATTGCATTGCATTATTAGTAAATCATTCTCTCGTAGCTTACTAATGATTAATAAATGCTCAAATGGTTAGTCCATGAGTAATTAAGTATGAAATAATTATGAATAACTATTTACAGAACAGGCAAATTAAGTGTAAGTGCTAATTAAGGTAGTAATTAAGTAGTTTTAAAATTGTATTTATTTAGTTATTTATTTAATAGGGACAGTGCATATTAATGAACATCTACAACACTGCAGTGTAAATATGACAGATTACAGCAGGGATGTTCATTTCCATCTGTAGTTCCTCAGCAGGTAACACAACAAGTTTAACAAAGAAAAAACAATAACAACAAGTGACAGTTCTAGACTAAAAGTGTCCACAAGTTTGGTTTTCCTTTAGCCACTGTTTCGAGTGGGATTTAAAGGTGGCAAGTGTTGGAGTCTCTCTGATTGATAATGGCAGACTGTTTCAAAATGTAGTGCCTCTGACTGAGACACACATTGTCTGAATGTGATGCGTCTGTGTGGAGTTCACAGTTCCACCGGGCTGTGGCCCTAGTTCCCACTGATAGTTTTTACTTTAATAAAATTCTGTGACGGGAGGGGGGCAAGTCTATACAAAATTTTATAGATAAAACATCCATATTTAAAATCAACAAAATGATTAATATTAAGCAGGTTGTACTTATCTAAAATAGTGCAGTGGTGAAATATTTGTCCAGTATTTTTACAGCTTTTTTTTAAAAAAGTGATTCGATGAGTTTGAGTGTTGTGGCAGCAGCAAGTGATCATGTGGTTACGCAGTCCTCTATATGAGACAGAATCATGGAGTGTAAAAACATTTGTGCCGCATATAGAGTCATAAAAGATCTTTCTTGTCTAAAATTCACTAAGTTAAAATGAACAGTTTTTGTGTGGTGCTTAATGTGTTTCTTAAATACACTCCTTATTACTACGTATTAGTATGAGACTAGGCCATTTTTGTATATGAATTATGAGTCTAATAAGCTGGTGTTGTTAAGGACAAGTAGCAGAAGAAATTTAGTTTTTAGTTATTTGCGCAAAAAGCTTATTAGCATCATAATTCATGGACAAAAATTGTCTATTATCATATTAATAAGGAGTAATAAGAAGTTTATTAATAGGAAAGTGTTTGTAAATGTGTAACTAATAGCAGAATATGCTTATGGGGAATTAGACATTAAAAAGGGTTAAACAAATACTAATACATGACAAATTAACCATTTACAACGATGTTAATTAGTGGGTAGTTAGATGTTATTAAGTGTACCCTAAAATAAAGTGTTACTGATCTGACATATCACATGGCCTGGTGGTGAATGCTGCTTGTCTCCATGGAGATAGATAAAGTTTAATGCCTAAATATTGTGGGATTTTCTAGGCAAAGCAAAGTTAGTTAGTCTTAATGCTCACTGTTATGATTTTTTTTTTTATTTTATTATTATTTTACTTTTTTTTTTTTTTATTATTACTGTAACTGTTGTTGTCTTTCTCAGGTCCTCTCACTGGGAAGAGAGAAGTTCCATGGGTGTACAAATCAGGAAGTCCATCAAAAATAGTGCAACCTAAAAACAAAAAATGCCAAGTATGGACTTTTTGTATCTTGTTATAGTGAGGTAATGACCACACTGACCCCACTCACCACTGAGTTCTCATGTGCATTGCTTTATATATAGATATGATGCCAAGGAATCAAACATAAATCAATGCAAAACAACAAAAAAAATCCAGTTTACCTCCCGTTACCTTTTAACTTTTGCATATTCATTTTAACTCTCTACAGGATTTTTCAAGCAATTATTCACCTATTCATACACTCACGTCACGCACATAACAGATGCACTGGGCACAAGGTGGGTTAAGTGTTTTTCCCAGGGATGCAGCTTCAGTAGCCTCTGCACAAATAGGAGAGGAAATCGAATCTCCAACATGAAGATACCCTGATCTCCTAACAACATCAAAAGTCTAAGTTTATGAATATAACCATGATCTATTTGAACAAAAAAACAAAACTTAAAGGCGCATTACGTAACTTTTTTAATGTCTCCCAACTCTGTACTAGTATCAGTGGTAAGCGTATAGCAGGGGTCTCTAACCTTTTTCTTCCAGTGAGCTACTTGTATAAAAATAAAATGTCAAAGAGTTACTAACTTTAGCAGTTACAACAAACTGAGCATTGGAAACCCTTAGATTTGGAACAGTTAGATACCTACAAAACATGAACCTTTATCCATGGGTCCGGTCAAGAGGTAACGGAAAACAGATTTTTTACATCCAAATGTCTCTTATTCAGAAACTAGAGGGACTATTGAAATAAGTAAAGTATCAGAATGTAGGAAAGAGTTACACTCCAACACGGTAAAGTTAAACCTGTGATATTCTTTCAAGTTGTTGACAAAAAATTAAAAAACTCATGTCAATAACGGATGGAATGAAGTATGCAGCACTTTTTGGGCAATAAATACAAACAGTGATAACTAGCGGTTCTCACTTACATATCCTTAACAAACTGGTTTGAATATTTGCTTCATATAGTTTTCTACCATATGGTACAAGATTAGGTTGAAAAACCTCTTACTTTTTGAGTAATGAGATTTTTTATTAAGAAAGGTCATGGCAACGGAGGGAAAAGTAACGGAGGGAAAATTGTGCAAGCAAGTAAAAGGTGCAGGATTCTGCATAATTTGTCAGCGTTTTTTCTTCCGAATACTTTAATATTATTTCAAAATGAAAAGTAACTATTTCTATAAAATATGTCAGTCCTTCCAAGCTAATTTTTATCATTTTAAATACATTTTTTTTGAAAAATCATGTACTTTCATCAACAGTTCAAAGATCGAATAACACAAGATATGATGAAATACATCCATTTATTTACACGTTGTAACTTTAGAACCAAAAATGGTACAGAAAAAAGGTAAACAGTTTCATAAACTAGAGTACATTTACTATCTGTTGAATACATTTTTATATCAGATATATAAACTTGAATTTTTGGCCTTGCTGTATACTTCTGCTTGACTGGGCCCCCATGTATTAATGCACAAAGTTAGGCACCAAAAGATACATCTACAATGGTAGGTCATTCAGAAATCCGTTGGCGAGCTATTTGGAAGGGGGTGGAGAGCTACTGGGAGCCTCCAATCTACATGTTGGAAACCCCTGGCATACAGTAGTTAATAATAATGTGTTTGAACCATATGTCTTTCTAACTGCATCCAGCTAGAAAAGTCCTATATTTCGCAAAATTAGCCATGTTAAAATGTTGTTTCCTCATCAGAAACACACCCAGAGTTGTTTCATTTCATTCACACATTTGAGTAATTCTTTATTATTAGTCTGTCTACATCTCCAAAGCTCAAAATTCTCTGTTCCACCTTTTCATGTCATAAAGTAGTATTACAATTTAACGGTAGCTTTTGTTTGGTAGAGGCTGAAATGATCCAAATGATTCTAGTGAACGTGCATGGAGTTTAAAAACATAATGGAGCACTTCCTGTATTGCCACATGACATCACAAGGTGGAACAAAGTGTTTTTTGTTCCAGAGAAGACCTCTAAATATGCAGGGTTTGTGTGTTAAATGTGTGAATGAAACAAAACACAACTCCAGGTCTGTTTGTGACGAGGAAACAACATTATAACAGATCAGAAAATAGTAAAATAAGGTCCCTTTAAAACCATTTCACTCTGCTTAAACTAAATAACACTGATTATAAAGCCGTTCATGTTGGAATTCTGAACTGTTTGAACTAGAAATTCCACTGTGTTTTTTTCACTCTTGACTTTTTCCCTGCTTTGACCTAGAATTTTTTCCTTTTTTTTCCGTCCGGCTGTAGACTTCAGACAGTGTAACCTGATACTTGACATCATCTGCTTTTGGAGAACGCGCAGTTTGAGTCAAACCAGATGTAAATTCAGCCAGGGAAAAAAAAAAAAAAAAAGAAGAAGAAAAACTCCTCCCAAAACTTGTCAACTTCCCCAAATTCCATCCATATAAACCGGTAACGCGTTCGCTGACCGTCACCCACTAACCAAGCTCAACACTGGAAGTAAACTAAACCTTAAGGTAAGCTCATTTTGTGTTACGTACCTTTTTTTTGTGTGTGTGTGATCTTAACTGCGTGCCCTACTTTCCGTTAGCATTCAAACAAAGGAAAAGAAACGCTATGCAACTGAGTCAGAGCAAGCAGCTGGGAATTTGCATAGACCAAGGCAGTGCTGGCTAATTCTAGACACTGTTTTTCTCTGAGGCTTGCAGAAAATAAAGATATGCCATGTTAATGAATGTGTGGGAAGCATGAGCAGTCATCACGTTTGAAAATCAGATATTGTACAAAAGTGGAACATACAGGCTGTGCAAATAAGCCTATAGGAATTCAGAAGCAAAGTTGTCTCCTCTCATTGCGATTCATGCATTGAAGTTAAGTAAGAAGGTGCACTATGTAACTTTTCTGATGAACTTTTGCCTGAAGTGTTACACAGTATGACAATAGTAGTAGTAGTTTATTCTGTCATTTTGCAACACTACAAAACGAAACAAAACAAAACATAGACTACGGCCTCATAAATCATGACTGAAAGAGTTTAGGTTGAAGTAAAAAGTACTTCTAATGCCAAACCCTATAAAACAATGATAGAATTTCAAGAAAGAAAGCAAAGTATAAACAGCAAATTTGCTTTTACAATTTCATTTACAACTTACTGTACATAAGAGACAAAAAATGTCAATTAAAACTAACAATATTTAATGCATTTTTCATTAGGGATGTAACAATAACCAAAATATCATGATATTGTATCGTCAAAAGTCTCGCAATAATATTGTTTACCTTCACTATATATCAAATTACAAGTTTCTAAAGTTCTAGTGCAACAATATTAGCCTGATTCATCAGCCGGTTTCACTTCATGGAAACCGTCTGACCTCGCAGCATTAAGATTTGTTTGCTCGACGGTAAGCAGGTACTTTTTATTTAACCAATCACTGCTATTTGTTTTTTCTAGGTATTTTAGAGCGATAAAACCATCTGTAATTTAATAAATGTAAGGTTTAATATCATATTGTGGAACATTGCCGGCACAGCAATCACATGTCCCTAAAAAGAAGCAGGTGACGGATCGTAAACCAAAAAGTGTACTTTTAAACTTATCTATCCAGCATTTATTCAGTTCAGTCAGTTTTTAGGGATAAAACAGATAAGAAACAAGCAGTTTTCTTGTGAGCAGTGCTGCCGTGCCACAGATCTGACTTGTAATGTGGGCTGTTGGTGTTACTGTCTTGTCTTTGTGAATAAGACTCTTTAATGCACAGTTATTTGAGTTAATGAGATAATACTTTTTGCTTTTAATATGGACAAATGAATGTTGTTTTTGCTGTAAATTGTAAATGAGCTCCTGCAACAAAATAATTACCTAAAAATGATTAATAAAGTATATCTAATCTAATGGCAAGGCAAGTACACAAAGTACTTATGCTTGTCTAATTGTGGTAACAAACCACAAAACAAATCAATAACAGTTCTTTGTAAGTTTCAAAAGTATATATATTTGCTCAAGCTTAATCTAAAGTGCTTTTATGCAGCAACAGCTCAAGTGAAAAGAATGCAGTTCCATATGTAGACCAGAGGATGTTTGCCATAAAACGGTGGGGGCCTGAGGTCACACTGCAGATTCTGTTTCCACTTTCCCCAAAACACTAACATAGTTTTGCGTTTGGTCTCTGGACTTTGATGTCAAGTTGCTGACAAAGCTTTTACACTCAGTTTATTTGAAAGCCCTGAATCCTTTGTTGCAGCTGGAATAGAAATCGAGGGAACAACACAGAATATGATCCTTTGCTCCATTTCACCACAGACAGCACACAAGCTTAGTCCTAATAGTTTGAAATATAATCATCATTTCTACAATTTTACATACAATGGTAATGAACATCCTACCCATTTTTATTGCAAAAAAAACCAAAACAAACAAAACATAGATGGTAGGGGTGTAACGGTACAAAAATCACAGTTCGGTACATACCTCGGTTTTGAGGTCACGGTTCAGTTCATTTTCAGTACAGTATGGGAATAAAATCCAAAACCATTTGCTTATACCATTTGTTTATTTGTGTGTTTATTAAACCAACAATTTGTTTTAACATTATACAAACAGGAAAATAAAATAAATGCAAAGTGCTGCTTGGTAATACTAATAACTTAAATAAAATATTCTCAAATAAGTAACAAATGTATGAACTATTATAAAAAATAAATTCCTTGTAAACAGTAAACAAAACTTCCATGCCAACGAAAGGCGAAAGTGTGGACCAGGGCATGATGACCGTAGTTTTGTTAGGATTCATGTAGTTCGGAGTGTTGTAGTCAAGGAAGGGGGCAATTGTTGTCAAGGCAGCCGCCCTAACTATAAAGCGCCGCGGGAAACACTGCCCCAGTCACGGATGAGTTTCCTCATGAATATTAAAGACATGTAGTGGCAGAATGTAAACACACACAAATTGCACAAACTTACTCGGTACATGTTCACCGAACTAAACATCCTGTATCAAAATAGTTCAGCATGAAGTACATGTACTGTTACAACTGTAATAGATGGAGATCAAGGGCAATATTGTGAGACTGTGATACAATTCGATAAATAAAATAAAACATTTACAAAAGCTGAAATGTTTTTTGGGCCACAAACTAAAATATTGCATTACTGTGAAATCATGCTAATTAAAATATTATTACCACTATATAATAATTAATATACTTTATATATAATAACTTAATACAAAATGTAACAACAGAAAACATTTTAAGCTTTGTGGCAGTTTTTGTTTCATGTGTATTGGTCCTGTATATTGACCAATAAACCAGTACTAAGCACATTGTCATAACTCTTATCTTTCACCATGATGTACAGTGTGACTCAGATGCCCTCCCATACAGTCTGACAGTAACAGTATTTGTGTGTTCCAGAGTAGAAGATGTTGGGGTCTCTGTGCGCTCTGCTGCTGTTGGGGTCCAGCCTCAGTCTGCCTCTTGATCTGGGCGCTCGATGGGAGCAGTGGAAGATCACACACAACCGACGCTACGGTGGACAGGTATGTGGAGTTTTACGTTTACTTTTAACTGGGTTTGATATGAAGGAAATACGAAACGTATTGGCCTTCTTCATTAAACAACACACATTATGTAAAACTGACTTCTCCTCATCCAACACATACCTGGAGTTGTGCTTAGAGTGGCTTGTTTCATTAATCCACTAAATGCAGTCGTCTTCTCTGAGCTCTCAAAAAGTGCTCTCTTTGCATTTTGCTCAGATTGTTGCATTATAGGTAAAAATGCAGCTGTATAACAAAATTGTATGACCCTGACGATGCAGATTATATTCTTTGAAAAACCGCCACACTTTCTTTAAATATCAGACAAACTGCACGGTCCTTACACTGAACAAAAAAATAATCGGTCATCCACTGTTCTTTGAAAACTCAGCCATTTTGCTGTTGTTAACTGCACTACAGTACTCTGCTCGTGCGTTGACTGTCACTGTTTTGATCTCGAGCTTGTCAGGTGACGAAAATTCAGCGGCAAATGTAAATACGTCATAATTATTTAAATATAAGTACTTCATATAAATACAATTTCTTTATTGAAAAAAATCAACAAAATACAAGATGCAGGCATGTTATTATTTACCAAAAATGTATTTTAAAAAGTAGGCCATGACAGCTTTTGAGGATTTCCTCATGTGGCCAGTTCAAGTGGAGCGTGGAGAGCCGGAGTTGGCCCTCGGGCCTTAGTTTGATGACCACTGCCATAAACCATCACTGGACTCATTGTGCTGTCAGACTGTGTTCACGACAAAAGCGTTGCTCTATCAGCATAACATTCACAGAGAAAAGGGACTTTGATTGTTTACTTTCTAAAGGTTAATTCCCATTAGAGACAACAGAGGGAGCTCTCGAGTGCGTAAATCATACTTTTGTATTGACATAAGTAAGAAGAGTAAGTAGTTAGCCGATATATTGGGCCAATATTTACCGTTAGCATATTGTCTATTGGCCTTAAATCTCCAGCACGGGCTGATTTGTTGTTGAAGAAGAATATACGTAAAGCTTTACTTGAACTCTTAAGTGCGAAGAGATAACTCAGCAAAACATAACCATATAGCTGTCTTAAAACAAGGCTGTGGGTGAGTTTGTAATAAAGAATTGAATTTGGGGAAAACAGAACAGAATTTGCAGAAAGTAATCCAAATCATCTGGATATGTTGGCGGTATCTGTACCAACATCGGCTCTGAAAAAAAAACATCACTCGATCTCTAGGTACAAGAAGTCATTGACTATTTGAACAAACCATAATACAGTTTGTCTCTTTTACTGGTGAATGTGTGAAACAGAAATATACTTGACATACAACTAGCCTCCAGTAGTAATCTCAATCTTTACTAGTTTGTCCCTCTTTTTCATTTTCATTGTTCAGCGTAACCAGCTTGGGATCATTGATGTGCTTTCGGAGTTGCACAGGCAGATTTGTAAATGGTCTTCTCTAACAAAACAGACTAGAGCATATGCATGAGATGATGAGTGGTGCTTATGTTGTGGTTTTGGCCTGGAGTGAGGTACGCAGATGGAGCAGAGAACAGTGAAATTACAGCAGGACAAGTACAAAGAGATTTCCCCGTCTCTCCCTCTCACATCCTCTGCCAGTCACTCAATCCTCCATTCACAAACACGAAGACCCACTTTGAACAAACGCAAGCCTGACATCACTCCATCTCACAATAATGCAACAGAAAACAGCTACACTTTCCAACATAAAAAGAGATGCTATGTTGAACTGGGTAATTTCACTTAAAGGACTAGATTTTTTCATGTAATAAATTGAAATCTTTCAGGACAGATCATAGACGGACTTCAGCTCCAGTCAAATAAAGCTCATCGAGACAAGAAATAGGAATTTATTTAATTACAAAATAGTGAAATAAAAACACCAGGATCATGTAGAGCGGGTTAATACGAACATTACAAGAGCAAAAGGACAAAGCTTACAGCAGCAGTTACAGGGAGAAGAGGGGTGATGGGTTTTTTTTTTTTTTGTTTTTTGTTGTTTATTTTTCATGATTAAATTTTTATTCAGGTGTTATCATTTGCAGTTATACAGGTTCCAGTTAGCATAGCAGTTTTCTCCCTTTTAAACCCCACACCTCCCACCCTGAAACTCTCTACTGATGGACATATACAGACATGTACACACACATACATACATATAGAAAACAGACGTATCTACACACACACATACAAACGCACAAATAAATATATATTCACGCACACACACACGCACACACACACGCGCACACATACATACATACAAAACCCCTATAATTCTATGCAAAACAATTGCAAATTTCTTCAATCAAAAAAAATCAGCAGAAATTGCATTATACATACTTATTATGTATCATACATAAAAAATATACTCAGAGTATACATATTGTGTACATTCTCTGATACATATAATATATTAAAGGTCTCCAAGTAACAACTATACATTCAGATCTCAATTTGACAGTCAGTAGTTGCTGTGGTCATACCGGCTTGTCAAAGCCTAATCTGGTCAGATCTCAGAAGCTCAGCAGGGCCGGGTCTGGGTGGTACTTGGAATGGAGACCACTGGGAAAATCAGGTGCCACAGTGGGGCGCTAGTCACAAAAAACTGTGTGTGCTTGAGTGTTGGTGGTGGTTGGAGGGGCCAGCGTGTAAACATTTGAAAACAATTAATAAGATGTTATTGTTCTCGTCAGCAGATGAGTTGCAGCATTCTAGACATGTTGTAAGTGCTGCAGGAGCCCTGGTCCATCCCTACATACAAAGAATTACAATAGTCCAGGTGCAATGTTACAAATGCATGGATTGCTTTTTCGAAAATCTGCCTGTGGGAGGTACGGCTTTATTTTCACGAGGAGCCTTAACTGAAAGAAGCTGCACTTTATCACAGAGCTAATGTGCTTGTCCAGTTTGAAAAGTCCACAATCACCCCTCACTGCAGGGAGACCATTGGAGAACAGAGGACCACACTGTCATGTCCAAGCAATGGGTTAGTTTGCCCAAACACCACAATCTCAGTTTTATTTTGATTTAAGTTCAGGAAGTTTGCGCTCAGCCAAGTCTGTACATCCCTGAGACAGTCCTGCAGAGCTTTGATTGTGCTCTGGTTATCGTCTGCAGTCACTGGCAGATATATTTGAATGTAAAAAAAAACAGCAACAAAAAAAACCTTGATAGTCACTTACATGTAAAATTGTTAAGAAAGCTTGTAGTTTATATAGTCATGAGATGTAAATGTTTTTTCTCTGATTCATTTTTCAACTTTTCTCATCTCTTCTCTCATTGCTGTAAAACTGTTCTGTTAAAACAATAGTCCAAAGCCCGTTGCTCAGTGCTAGCATCTGTCTCCTTGACCCGTCCCCCGGGGCTGGAGGTCAGTGCTGCACAGCTGTTCTATAGGTGCCGCTGCAGTGGACTTTAACTCTGGTGCCCTCCCCTGAGCCCTGCGTACTTTTACATGTTGTACTTGTGCACACGCTCAGTCTGTCTTTATAGCTCTATGCGCGCCCTGGTTAGTGCTGTGAAGTAACGGAATACATATAACATAATACACAGGACAATCTAGGAAAGTTAAGATGACTTGAATTAAGGAAGTTTGATCATGATTTGAGTCAATTTCACTTGGCAAGTCAAACAATCTAGACTTTTTGTACTTAAAATATGAAAGTACATCTTGCTGCATTTATGACGAGAAAAACAACAACTCTTTGTAATTACAATAAGAAGCAAAAATGTAATGTTGTTGTCAAGTTCAATCTACTCAAATAAAGTGGAGTTTCTGCTACCTACTTGTCTTCATAGAGATGTTATTGCTTGGCCTGGAATGTTCCATGGTATAACTTTAAAAATATCCATCTTGTGTTTTTTTCCTTGATTCCTTTTGTGAATAGGTGTGACTCTCCACAGATCTGAACTGTAATGTAGCATTGTGCTGTAACCTGCTTGTTACTCGTGATAAATAGGTTTAATTTATACTGTGGAACATTCTAGACAAAGCAATAACATTTAACAATAACAACAACACCCGTTACCCGCCCTTGTCCTTGATAAATCGGGGTCAGCCCAGTAGTCCCACAGCCCAATAGTCCAGGACCACACCAGGACTACACAAGGACTAAACCAGGACTAAACCAGGACTAAACCAGGACTAAACCAGGACTACACCAGGACTAAACCAGGACTAAACCAGGACTAAACCAGGACTAACACCAGGACTAACCAGGACTACACCAGGACTAAACCAGGACTACACCAGGACTAAACCAGGACTAAACCAGGACTACACCAGGACTGAACCAGGACTAAACCAGGACTAAACCAGGACTAAACCAGGACTAAACCAGGACTAAACCAGGACTACACCAGGACTAAACCAGGACTAAACCAGGACTACACCAGGACTGAACCAGGACTAAACCAGGACTAAACCAGGACTGAACCAGGACTAAACCAGGACTAAACCAGGACTACACCAGGACTACACCAGGACTACACCAGGACTACACCAGGACTGAACCAGGACTACACAAGGACTAAACCAGGACTAAACCAGGACTGAACCAGGACTACACCAGGACTACACCAGGACTACACCAGGACTGAACCAGGACTAAACCAGGACTAATCCAGGACTGATCCCGGACTGAACCAGGACTTACTAGGACTAAACCAGGACTTAACCAGTACTAAACCAGGACTAAACCAGAACTGAACCAGGACTAAAACAGGACTAAAACAGGACTTAACAAGGACTTAACCAGGACTAAACCAGGACTGAACCCAGACTGAACCCGGACTAAACCAGGATTGAACCAGAACTAAACGAGGACTAAACCAGGACTGAACCAGGACTAAACCAGGACTAAACCAGGACTAAACCAGGACCCGACCCTGTGCAGGACTCTGGTGCACCTTGAATTTAAGCCATTTAACTGTTTTTTGCAGTATGTACTATAAAACTATATTCTGGTACAGTTACTTTTTTAATTTAGTTGTATTCAAAATAGTTGCTTTTCTAAAATCAAAGGAATACATGGCAGTACTTGATCCCACATTAAAAAAAACCTGCACAGAATCAGTGAGAAAATAAACTAAACATTCTTCTTATAGCATATGCATGTGTATTTTTACTTCTGCTATTAGTGATATGAAAAAACAAAAATGGGTTCATTCCTATGTTGCGTTTTTACACTATAATTTAAAGGTGCAGTGCGTAACTTTTCTGGTGAAGGGTCCATCAAACACTTTTCTCGATGGAGATGTTATAGTTTAGTTTGGAATGTTTCACAGTATGGCATTAAACCTAAACTAGACCCAGTTACAGGTCAGATCTGTGGAGAGGCGACCCGGCTCACAGTCAGAATGCCTGTTTTTCTAGGTTTTTCCGAGCTATAAAACCACCTGTAATTGAATAAATGTAAAGTAGAGCTGTTTTAATGTCATACTGTGGAACATTCTAGGCAGAGCAACGACATCCATAGAAACACACAGACGATGGATCTTCCACGAGAAAAGTTACACAACGCAGCTTTAAATGCATCTGAAAGCATTACAAAATACACTTGAATGCAGGTATTCAGTATTCTGTAACTAAATATTTACGTATTCTTCCCATCAGTGGCCCCAGCACCAACACTGTTTTTGCTTTTAACTCTGTATTCTGCTTCAACAGGCACACAGTTAAGTGGGTAGTGTAAAATAACATTAGCATCTTCTGGCCATTTGGAAAGAAGGCACATTATGATAATAGGTACATTACATGGCCTCCTTTATATCTGTGGGTTTCTGAGTGATGTCAAATTTGCACTGTTGCCATGGAAATTAAAAGGCCCTTATTACACTGTTCTGATCTATGTGCATTGTAGTTTTCTCATCACGAACAGTCCTGGAGTTTTTTTTAATTTAATTTAATTTTATTATTTATTTATTTTTATTAAGGACAGGATATAACATAAAAAATACAACAATCAATATTTAACAAATTACAATTACAAACAAAACACACCCACAACAAATTCAAAACAACAAAAAAGGCCTGAGATCGGGACCAGAACTGGACTGACACCGGGATCTGGTTTAGTTCTGGTTCAGTCCTGGTTTAGACCTGGTTTAGACCTGGTTCAGTCCTGGTTTAGTCCTGGAATCAGTCCTGGTTCAATCCTAGTCCTGGTTCAGGTCTCAGTCCCGGTCTCAGTCCCGGTCTCAGTCCCGGTCTCAGTCCCGGTCTCAGTCCCGGTCTCAGTCCCGGTCTGGTCTGGTTTGGTCTGGTCACAGAAATGGGAAATGCCCTTTATCCGTTTTTTCCATTATTCATTTAAAACTGAAAAAACAAATCGTTATCTGTTTTTTCCATTTTGGCTTTGGAGACAAATAATGAAGAAAATAGTTGTTTTTCATTTTCTTATTTTTGCTGTTATTTTGAAAAACAAATGAATGAATGATACACTTTTTTTTTTTTTGTTTGGTAGAGATCTGAAATTCCATGGCTGAAATTACCCAAATGATTCTAGCAAAAGTGGAGTATAAAAACAGAGTAGAGCAATTTCTATATTACCAGAAAACTCTAAAATAAACTCTTAATATGTAGGGTTTGTATATATTAAACATATGAATAAAACAAAACACAACTCCAGGTCTGTTCGAGGAAACAACATTAAAGCATAGATCAAATAATAGTGTAATATAGCCCCTTTAATATGGGACCTACCAATTCATAGGTCAGGATAGCATGGATTTGAATAAAGGAGAAATATATTACAATTTGTTTCTTCACTAATTACTTTTTTAAATACCCGACAGTTAAGATTATTAATGTGGGTAAATAGGACACCATTCCATTTTAATTAGCAAAGAAACACAGCCATATTTGTCCCAGTCCTATTTCACTAATGAGGCCATTGAAACCAGTTCACATTTACACATAATACTTGGTTTTATATCTCTGTCATACCAGTATATTGTAGTGTAATGTGAAATCCTTCTGTAGTCCTGGTTCAGTCCCCCTGTAGTCCCTCTGTAGTCCTCGTTCAGTCCCCCTGTAGTCCCTCTGTAGTCCTGGTATAGTCCCTCTGTAGTCCTCGTTTAGTCCTTCTGTAGTCCTGGTTTTAGTCCCTCTGTAGTCCTGATTTAGTCCCTCTGTAGTCCTGGTTTAGTCCCTCTGTAGTCCTGGTTTAGTCCCTCTGTAGTCCTGGTTTAGTCCCTCTGTAGTCCCTCTGTAGTCCTGGTTTAGTCCCTCTGTAGTCCTCCTGTAGTCCTGGTTTAGTCCCTCTGTAGTCCTCCTGTAGTCCTGGTTTAGTCCCTCTGTAGTCCTGGTTTAGTCCTTCTGTAGTCCTGGTTTAGTCCCTCTGTAGTCCTCCTGTAGTCCTTGTTTAGTCCCTCTGTAGTCCTGGTTTAGTCCCTCTGTAGTCCTGGTTTAGTCCCTCTGTAGTCCTGGTTTAGTCCCTCTGTAGTCCTGTAGTCCCTTGTTTATTTAGTCCCTCTGTAGTCCTGTAGTCCTGTTTAGTCCCCTGTAGTCCTGTTTAGTCCCTCCTGTAGTCTGTAGTCCCCCTGTAGTCCTGGTTTAGTCCCTCTGTAGTCCTTTAGTCCCTCTGTAGTCCTGGTTTAGTCCTCTTAGTCCTGGTTTAGTCCCTCTGTAGTCCTCTGTAGTCCTTTTAGTCCCTGTAGTCCTGGTTTAGTCCTGTTTAGTCCTGGTTTAGTCCCTCTGTAGTCCTGGTTTAGTCCATCTGTAGTCCTGGTTTAGTCCCTCTGTAGTCCTGGTTTAGTCCCTCTGTAGTCCTGGTTTAGTCCCTCTGTAGTCCTGGTTTAGTCCCTCTGTAGTCCTGGTTTAGTCCCTCTGTAGTCCTGGTTTAGTCCCTCTGTAGTCCTGGTTTAGTCCATCTGTAGTCCTGGTTTAGTCTGTAGTCCTGTTTAGTCCCTCTGTAGTCCTGGTTTAGTCCCTCTGTAGTCCTGTAGTCCTGTTTAGTCCTTGTTTAGTCCCCTCTGTAGTCCTGGTTTAGTCCCTCTGTAGTCCTGTAGTCCTTAGTCCCTGTAGTCTGTTTAGTCCCTCTGTAGTCCTGGTTTAGTCCCTCTGTAGTCCTGGTTTAGTCCCTCTGTAGTCCTGGTTTAGTCCCTCTGTAGTCCTGGTTTAGTCCCTCTGTAGTCCTGGTTTAGTCCCTCTGTAGTCCTGGTTTAGTCCTCTGTAGTCCTGGTTTAGTCCTCTGTAGTCCTGGTTTAGTTCCTCTGTAGTCCTGGTTTAGTCCCTCTGTAGTCCTGGTTTAGTCCCTCTGTAGTCCTGGTTTAGTCCCTCTGTAGTCCTGGTTTAGTCCCTCTGTAGTCCTGGTTTAGTCCATCTGTAGTCCTGGTTTAGTCCCTCTGTAGTCCTGGTTCCTGACATAACTCTTGTATCGTGACGTTGTTTCCCAGGAGGAGAATTTTAAATCCCAATATGTCATTTTAAAGAGAAATCCTTCACAAAAGAAAAACAAATACCTGAAAAATATTTACATTGGATGATTTTATGTCAGTTTAAAAACCAAAATACACAATTTGTACAAAACACTCCCAGTGTACCGATTTTTGCAACAAGGCACAGGAGTTAAGATGAGTTTAAAGCCCTTTCCACAACTTTCAGCGGCGAGAGTTTTGCAGTCAACAACAACTAGCATGGTACCAGCACACTTCCTGTTTCTTAGACAGTTATATCTACTGTTCTGTTCGGGGGAGATAGCAATAATGCAGACAGATGCTTTTTTTTTTTTTTTTAGAGAATAGAGATGTAAGCACTGAGATATAGGACTTCCTGACATGATTTGTGTATTGCCGTGTTGTTTCCAGGAGGAGGAGTCGTGGCGCAGGACCGTGTGGGAGAAGAACTACAGACAGGTGGAGGCTCACAACAGAGAGGCTGACCTGGGCCTGCACACGTACTGGCAGGGCATGAATCAGTTCAGCGACTGGGTGAGTTTACGGTTACACGGAAGTTTGAAATGAAGCACTGAATGAACAGAGTGAAAATCAGGTACCGCAAAACTCAAAACTGCATCGTTCATTCGCTCCGTGAGGCTGCCAATCTGCGTCAGCCGCCTCCAACCACCGCCATCACTCACTGTGTGTTGTAAAATCAGCTGTGAAGTGACGTTTGTGAATGAGTCGGCTCTTTTGAATGTTTCCTTAAAGGTGCAATGGTGCATGGTAGGGCTGGGTATCATTAAGAAGTTGCCAATACGATACATACCTCGATACATAGGCCACGATACAATATACACCTCGATACATAGACCACGATACAATATACACCTCGATACATAGACCACGATACAATATATACCTCGATACATAGACCACGATACAATATACACCTCGATACATAGACCACGATACAATATACACCTCGATACATAGACCACGATACAATATACACCTCGATACATAGGCCACGATACAATATACACCTCGATACATAGACCACGATACAATATACACCTCGATACATAGGCCACGATACAATATATACCTCGATACACAGGCCACGATACGATACATACCTCGATACATAGGTCACGATATAATATATACCTCGATACATAGGCCACAATACGATACATACCTCGATACATAAGCCACGATACAATATATACCTCGATACATAGGCCATGATACGATACGTACCTCGATACATAGGCCACGATACAATATATACCTTGATACATAGGACACGATACGATACGTACCTCGATACATAGGCGACGATACAATACATACCTCGATACATAGGCGACGATACAATACATACCTCGATACATAGGCAACGATACAATACATACCTCGATACATAGGCGACGATACAATACATACCTCGATACATAGGCCACGATACGATACATACCTCGATACATAGGCGACGATACAATACATACCTCGATACATAGGCGACGATACAATACATACCTCGATACATAGGCGACGATATAATACATACCTCGATACATAGGCCACGATACAATATATACCTCGATACATAGGCCACGGTATAATATACACCTCGATACATAGGTCACGATACGATACGTACCTCGATACATAGGACACGATACGATACGTACCTCGATACATAGGCCACGATACAATATATACCTCGAAACATAGGCCACGATACGATACACATATCGACATATATCGACAATATATTTCAAACTGATTCGATATGATTCAATAAAAAACAAAGTCTGTATTGATGCCTGTGATACTAAAAGTCTTTGTTAAACCACTTCTTGCACAAAGTGAATATGAAAAACACCACTTTTAATCCTCAAAACAGTGAAAATGTCAAATGCGTCGCATGAATGAGTTTTCTTCCTCTAAAGAAGCAGCAAAACTGTAGCACTTTAACAAAATAACTGAGTAAGATATACCAAACAATACTCTTGGTGATATATATCGATACAGCAGTCTGTGATATCGATACTGTATCATCACATTAGATGATACGATATAACGATATTTATAAGCACTTTGTTGCATTTTTTTTGTATGAAAAGCACACTATAAATAAAGTTTGACTGATGGATTGATTGATATTTCAGTATTTTTGCACACCCCTAGTGCATGATGTAATTTTTCTAGTGGAAGGTCTGTCAAATGCTTTTCTTCATGGACATGTTATTGCTTTGCCTGGAATGTTCCACGGTATGACTTTAAACACATCATACAGCATTTATTCATTATGGATGTTTTTATTGCTCAAAAATACAATAATTCTTTCTGTGAATAGGGGCGACTCTCCACAGATCTGAATTGTAATATAGTGTAGTGTAGTGCTGTTACCTGCTTGTCTCCTTTGTGATAAATTGGTTTAATTTATAATGTGGGACATTCTAGACCAGGGGCATCAAACAGAGGGCCAAAATTAAGAAGTGGGACTAAGCCGTGGGCCAAACTCAATATTTGTTGAAACATTTCAACATCTGCATGTTTTCTCTTCTTTTGAGATATGTAATGTTAAACCTTGTCTTATTAAAATAAATGTTTAATAATAGTTCTGCTTAAATGCTGAATCCAGAACAAGCAGAATATAAAATAATAACAAAATTTTAAATAAATAATGTCTCTGTAGTCTATCTGTAGCCGGAGGGCCAGCTCTAATACATATTTGATATGATCTCATGGGCCAAGTATAATTATATTAGGGGCCTGAGTCTGACATGTCTGTTCTAAACAAAGCAATAATATTTCCATGGAGATAAGCAAGTGGTCGACCCGCCACCAAAAAAGTTACACAGTGTAGCTTTAATTTGAACTGGTTGAACACCTCCAAAAGATCTGGATCTCATAAAGTCAAAGTCGCCAAAAGTCCCATCACTAAAAATCTAATTGTGAATCATGTTGAGACAGGAGGACACTGAAAAAGCATTTTGATGGATAAGAACCTTATGGAATAAAGTGCCAGACAGTAGTATGTCTGTCATGGTTCAACTACTCTGCCACGTTAACACATTTTGAAGAAAAGTGATATGTTCCAGAAGTAAATTTAGACAACAAAAAGCAGAATTATCCCCTAAAAACTATTAAATGTGCAGTATTATTAAAAAGTATGAACTGCAAAAAATATATAACAGAACATAACACCTAAGAAGTCAGTTTTGGTATATACTAAGTTCATAATTCAACACTCTACAGCTCAAATCTGATCGTAGGACAGAAACATAACCAAAAATGTCCCTCTAATACAAAGAAAAAGTCCCCACGATAAATGTTCACAAGCAAAAAGTATTGTTACATCATGTACTGAAGTCGATATAGTATTTATCGTAAGGCCTAGGTTCGACATTTAAATGAAAGACGGGGCTATGGAGGTGGGGCCAACAGTTAAAATTAATGCGTTTCTCAGTCATGGTTCAAAATTGGGTGCAGGCTTGTTCAAATTTAGCCTATGTTATTTCCATTTTGATACTAGACAAATCAGAGACTGGGTGAATTTACACTAAGCAATTCTAAACTTGCTATTTAGTTAGAAAGATGCAAATCCTAAAGAAGATAATAGTCTGTCCAGTTATGCAAATGCTTTTATCTAACTAATATAAAACAAAAGCGCAAAAAAAAAAAAAAAAAACGATCCTGCTTCCTTTAAAAAGCTTTGCATAATTCACTATCTTTACAAGGTTCAAATAGTGAAGTGGTTGTTGGGAGTGGGTGGATTTTTACATTTTTTCACCAGCAATAGTCCTTTCTGCATTGGTAACTATTTTCATTTCGCAGAATTTTAAAAAGTAAGTTTTAATTAGTATCAAAACCTGTGAAATTATCCATCCTATTAGTAATTTTTTTATTCCTTTGTATTAGTTTCTTAAATGTTAATGCAGGATTCAGGATTTGTTCAAAATTAAAGGAACAGTTCGGAATTTTGGACATAGGACCTCATTTCCTACTGAGCCAGAGTGTTGGAGACGTGTGGAGACACTTTGTAAAATATTCCATCCAGTCCTTGTATTTGCAGAGGTCGCTGGTGCTAGGCTAGTGCATGTCAATGGCCATAGTTAGCCTGCCACTAAAAACAGTCTTACCCACTCCACAAAACACCAGACTGTTGATGTAAATGTCTGTGCTTATAGAAGAATTGTAGAAGTAAAACCAACCTTGAATTTGAAGGATTTATGTCTGAGCAGCAGCAGCAGCGAGTTGTTCTTCCTAATAGAAAGCTTGGCGGCCGCGGACTGATATATGAGAAAATCGTCCCTCAACATACGACAATTCATGGGATGCAAGGTTAGTTTTATTTCAAACATTATTCTATCAAGTTTGGTGTAATAATAGATTTGCCTTGGGTGTTTTGTGGAGTGGGTAAGACTGTTTTTAGTGGCAGGATAACTATGGCCATTGACATGCACTAGCCTAGCACCAGCGACCTCTGCAAATACAAGGACTGGATGGAATATTTTAAAAAGTGTCTCTACACGTCTCCAACACTCTGGCTCACTAGAAAATGAGGTCCTATGTCCAAATTCTGAACCATCCCTTTAAAACAGAAAAATACTAATTCAACAGTGAACTAATGAAATGCAATGCTTTTCTGGTTGCTGGTTGATACTTTTACTAAATTCTTCATCCCTATATTCCTATTTTTATAGATTATAAGATGCCCTGTCATGATAAAAAACTTTGAAATGTGATATATTGCTGAAGAAAATAGACAATAAACAAAAAAACATATTCTAAATGTATGATAAATGGTCATGGTGACATTTTTATACAGCACTTTTCCACCTTCAAGGCACTCAAAGGAGTTTACAACAAGGAACCACGAATCCATTCTTCCACCAGTGTATGCAGACTCGAGGGGCAAAGTGGGTTAAGTGTCTTGCCCAAGGACACAATGACAACATTCATGTGTGGGAGCTGGAATCAGACCGCCACCCTGTGGGACAGTGATATTATATGTTAAGAACGGGATTCGAACTGCCAAACTTTTGAACTGGGGGCGACAAACGTTCTTACTAACGGAGCTACTGTCGCCCACATTTACAATATTGTTAAAAAGTATTTGCTAGTGGGTTTTTATAATGAGTCATAGTAGTTATATTTATTCAACCCACTACAGTTCAAAGTTTATACAAAAAAATTAAAATAAAAAACTTCTCCACTAGTACAAAGAACATAACCAGGAGACATATTGACCTTCAAAAAGTCTAGTTCCATGTGTCATTTCTTATACGACACGGTGATAGAGTAATTCTAGTGACAGGCCTGCCTCGTGGCATTAGCATATTGTGTGTAAATTCCCTGATTAATTTTACTGTGTCCCGTTCCTCTTCGGCACACGGGAGGAGAGGGAAAGCGCTGGGGTGTAACTAAGCGGCGCGGTGGTCTTTAAATCAGCCACAGACACTCAGGGGTGACAGGGGGTGACAGGGGCGACAGGGGGTGGCGGGGCGTGTGCATTAAGACGCCTGCCGTAACAAGCTCCGTCGAAACAGGAGGAAGAGGAAGTGTGAAATACTCCGTGACAGGCCTCTTTCATTACAGACATGTAAATAATATGCACTCAGGAGTCAAGGGCAACTGACAGCTGGGTTACAGGAGAAGACAAAACATCGCAAAGGTCTGTGGTGGTAAATGGAGATGTGGCAGGTTAAACTGCTGTCACAGAGATGACAGATGATGACAGGCATTGGGAAGATTCTACTAATAAGAATGAAGCAATATCATGTAATTTTTACTGTATCTCCAGTTCAGAAAAAAAAAAGGCTGGATCAGGTATAAAGTGTGTTTTTGTGCGTAGAAGTTACGTGCGTAGTTAAGTTATGTGACCAAAAGTATGTTTAAAATGGAATTAAAGCTACAAGAATGCATAAAGAGTGTGTAATTTAATGTAAAGTTTAAATATTTGGTAGTTAAAATACAAAATTTGACCTGGTTATATATGGTAAATACTAGTGTCGTAGACCGTTTTTTTTGCGGTCTTGGTCTTGAGCGCATTTGGACTCGGTCTTGTCTCAGTCTTTATGTTGCTTGGTCTCGTTCTTGTCTTGGACTTGAGGTCTGACACTTGACAAGTGCGATTATATTTCATTATGGCCGGTAAATATACAGAAGCTGCTAAATATCACTACAAACCAGTAAGAGAATATAACTGTAAATGTTATGAACTTGTAAAACCTCACTTTATTTTGATTTTATTTGTTTTTATTTGTATTTATTTTCACTTTGAAGGAGGGGTTCTCAAACTGTCGGTGAGGGTCCAAAAATGGGGCATAGAGTGTTTAAGTGCAGTACAGTTTGCTTGGCCTGTTTTAAATGAACTTTAACCTTCCTTTTGGCTTTGGCTTCTTTTGGCTTAGGTTCAAATAGTAAAGTGGTAGTTGGGAGTAGGTGGGTTTTTACATTTTTCACCAGAAACAGTTCTTTCTGCGTTGGTAAATACTTTCGTTTCCTAGAAATTAAAAAAGTACATTTGTTTCAAGACCTGTGATATTATTCATCTTATTAGTCATTTTTGTATTCATTTGTATTAGTCTCTGAAATGTGAATGCTCCAGTATTTGTTCAAAATGTGAACATAAACAACATTAACCAAATCAAATGGAAGAAGATTTATAAAAAGCATTGATATATATGTGCTAAAATAACAGTAAAATAAAATAAATGTAAAAAATGACAATGATGGTCTTGATTTGATCTCGATGGTCCATGGTCTCGGTCTTGTCTTGGTCTCGACCTTTAAAAGTCTTAGTCTTGTCTCGGTCTCTACTCTGAGAGGTCTTGGTCTTGTCCTGGTCTTAGGAACATGTGGTCTCAGACTAGTCTTGGTCTTGATAAGTGCAGCCTTGACTACAACACTAGTAAAAACTGTATCTCTATTGACACTTTGTGGCTGACGTCATCCACATTCCTCGTGCGACTACTCAAGTTAGACTTTAATCTGACATTTAATTGAATACAATGTGACCAGAAAGAGGAACAGGAGAGCTGTAGTTTTTTAGTTAGTCAAACTCCTAAACAGGACCAGGAACCCTCGTAACAAGGCTCCTGAAAATGTGCTGTTTAATTTGATTTTCCTCCGACAATCTTAAAACTTTTTTGCCAGTGTTTGCTGTGTGCATTGTGTCACCATGGTAACTGATGAACATTCCATCATAGGCATACATGTAGAACACCCCCGGCGTGATGTCACTGAAAAGTATTAATATGATACTGGGCAAAAATAATTGAGATACACATTTAAGCAGCACCAATGGTCAAAAATACCGTCAACAACTTTTGCTGTGTGGTTGGATAAATATAGCGCGAGAATGCACCTTTTCAGACATTTGTTAATTTCCTTTTGAATACTTTTTATGAAAATACAATACAATCCCCGTCTGAGTGTGTGGCGTCATTGAAAAACAGGTGGTTTGCAAAAAGAAGTTAAATGTGATGTTCAACACATTCAGTACAAGAAATGCACTCGTCAATGTATAGACAAGCTTTCCTCAAGGTGAAATAATAACTAATCATGATCTTTATGTTATTTTTTCACTCGGATAAGCCACTAATTAAGAAATATGAGAAGTCTTTATCTATATCTTCCTTCCTGATTCTCTTTCCCTGGAGTTTATCAAGTGAATAAGGCTTAGCTGTGATTAGAGTCTCAGTATATCTTGTTCTTTTCTTGTCTCTTGATTGTTAGCATATCACAAAAGCTGACTGAAGCTGGCATTCTTCAGTTCAAATCCTTTTTTTCTTCTCTATAGATTCAATTTCTAAAAATACGTTTCCATATTTGCTGGTGACGATGACAGTTTCACCTCGAATGACTTGGAACAGAAAGAAAAGTATCTCAGCAAGTAGGCAATTATGACTAAAGCGAGAACGAGAGCGAGAGAGAGATGAGAGAGACTTTATTGATCCTGAGGGAAATTCACGTTTTGCTGAAGTTTGAGGAGAGGAAGGGCCAAAAGTGTCCCTCCTCTGTGTCCTGCAGCATCACTGCAGTGTCCAGAGGAACACAACAGGAAAAGCCTCATTCTTATTCCACTCTGGAGTTTCAATTAGTGATGAAATTATTCATTCCTACAAAGTATTTCCTCTGGAAGGTTTTCTGCCACATTTGGTGTAAAAAGCTTATAGCATCTCTAATGTCTTCTTAGGTAACCTCTTGCACGATCTCCATGGATACAGGAAAAATAAACAGCTCTTTTCACAAAAACAAACAGTCACTTACTTGTGTGCTTTAAACTACACATGTTGTGCTGTTTAGTTGGTAAAAATCTCATTTTATGATGTTGAAAACTGAAATTTTAAAAAACCCTAAAAGTTTCAAAAACTGCTCAGCATGTGAGCCAGGCAGCCACTAACGCAGCCAACCACTCTGTTGCCATGGGGCTGTAAGCTCACTTGGCCCTGTTGTCCGAAAATCAGCAGGTCAGCTATTAGCTGTTGTTGCTAGTTGTTGTTAGCATTAACATGATGGTACAACACTGGTCTGACCTCTCACTGATGGGAAATGCAGCCATAAACTCATCAGGGTGAATAATCAGATGCTCTGGATGCATGATGTAAAGTGAGGAATAACTTTGGACGACTGTAAATTCTTTAAAATTAACTTGTTTCTCTGACACTGATAATCAGATACATTCCCCTTTATAACCAGACTTTATTTGCCAATGAGGAAAATGCTTTCACTAGAATCATTTGGATAATTTCAGCCCTAGAATGTCTATTCTACTAAACAAAAGGTAAAAGGAGTCATTAAAACTATCACTTTGTGACATCACAATGTGGAACAGAGCATTTTGAGTTTTGAAGATGTAGACCGACTGATAATGAAGAATATCTCAAACATGTGTGAATGAAACAAAACACAACTTTGTGGATGTTTGTGTGCAGACATCTGAGGAGTGGGCGATGTTCGTCACTGGGATCCCCCGTCAGGTGAAGAGAAACTCCAGTAACCTCATGTCTTTTCGATGAGGCCGATGTGCAGCGGCTGCCCAAGATGGTGGACTATCGCAAGAAGGGCATGGTCACCCCCATCAAGAACCAGGTCAGCTCACAACACTGCTAGGTTCACTTAGACCATAGACTGTATATAGAAATGGACATAGTTAACCTGGTTGCTGCTGCGTTCCAAATAGGAAGTGAGCATGGGGGCGCTTCTGGCTCCACTGACTCTGACTTCAACTGACTTTACATTCAAAAACTGTCACCCCTTTCTTAACTGCCGATGTGAGCCTTGTCATTTTGGTCTTAAAATGTTCGTATTAACCCGTTCTACATTATCCTGGTGTTTTGATTTCGCTATTTTGTCCTTAAACAAATTCCTATTCCTATTATGGAACTCCAAAAACTCCAGATTTGCCCCTGAAACCTCTAGCCTCATGAGTGATGGGTGATGTCACTCTCACATACTGTACACACCACATTAATCCTAGGCAATGTGGGTGAGGTGTCTTGCCTAAGGACACAATGACAGCCACTGACACCCCACTGTGTCACCTGATATTCCCAGCGGTCTCTCTCCAAGCACTAACCAGGCCCAGCGAGTCTCAGCTTCTGAAATCTGAAGCTTTGACAAGGACGTTTGATCAGCCCGTGTTCCTTGATTAAATTTTCCTTGGATTCAAACGTTCAAATTGTTTTTACTTTTCAATAAATTGTCACGGCGTAATAATCCAGAAAATGGTCCCAGTTAGAATTTCACTTAAAATGTTCCTTGTTTGTGCCTAGTCCAGAGTCTCAAAGTGTCATTTAGTGTTGAAATACAAAAGACGTACACAGCAAAAAGTGGAGTGTTTAAAATTGACTCTCACAGAATCACTTTTAACATTTTCTCCAAGTTTATCTGAGTCCAGTCTGTTCTAGAGTTAATTTAACACTTTTGGAAATGTTAATTAAGTAACACTGGACCAAAGTTCCTGTTTAACCCGAAATCAAGAGCGATATTAATATTTTGAGAGTAACACTTTGTAGAGTTATCCCGATTTAGTGAAATAACACAGAGTTGTTTTATTTTTACACTTTATTTTAGTTAATTTAAGATGAATTTATGAACAAAACTGGTTGAAACTGGTCTTCTCTCGTGGGAGTTTGAAGTGGTGGGTGGGAGGAGTCAAATGAACACTAAGGGAAGTTGAATTAACACTACGGGAAGTTGAATTAACTTAAAACCATCAACTCTGACAAATAACTCCAACTCAAAGTAAGTAAGTAAGTCTTTATTTATATAACGCTTTTCACAGACATTTTTTGTCCCCAAAGACGCTTTACAGAGCATTATTCATTCACTCTATACCTGGTGTTGGTAAGCTACTATTGTAGCCACAGCTGCCCTGGGCAGACTGACAGAAGCGTGGCTGCCATGCCAATCGGCGCCATCGGTCCCTCCGACCACCACCATCACTCGCACACACACCACTTTCATACTAGGCAATGTGGGTGAAGTGTCTTGCCTAAGGACACACAATGATTGAATTGATTGTATTTAACTGACCTTGACTATCAACTGTTCTGGAGACCTATGGAGCAAACCCCCATTTAACTTTCAAAGAGTTAAAATAACACTTTTTGTGTGAAAAACAACTTGTTGAGTATAAAGAGATAAAGAGAATTAATGGATCTTGTATAAGTCACGTCCAGTTTATGTTTTATAGAGAAGTGGTTGTCAAACTTGTTTCATGCAGTACAACATAAAAATAAAAATAAAAAATCTGGCTTTCACAGTACCACCAGATCTAAAACAAGACTAGGACTAAACCAGCTCTAAAATATTCAGTTGTTTTACATAAAAAACTAGACCAAACTGTAAATCAAACTGACCAGAAATGCACATATGACAGTTTGAGAAACACTGTTATAGAGCATTCTGATCCTAAATACTCTAAAAGCCAAATCTAGACTGTCAGCTATGTGAATATTCATAGTGCAAGACTGGGGTGCCCTCTAGTGGACTGTTTTATACTAATATATGAACCCTGTGTTGTCTTGTTATGAATTATGCAACGCTCATCTAAATTCTAAACCAAGTCTCTGTCCCTGGGCTATCCAGACGTCTCAAAAACAGCTACCTTCTTAAATATTAAAGTTGAAAATGTAAATAAACTGCACCCAAAACCACAGACTGTGTAAAGATTCAATACAATCTTTGCTCAAGGCTGATATTAGTTTATATCATGATACTTAGGCTATATTCATATCAGCCCTCATGAATTTTTTGGATGAAATTTCTTCCTTTCTTTTTGCCATAAAGTTTAATATTTAATTTTTATGTACCAAAGTGCAGTCTTTCTTTTATCAAACCCGATGAGGTAATGCCAAAGGTGAACAAAGTTGGACAAGGCTGCCCTCAAGTGGACAGAAAATATAATGCAGAAAAAAACAAAATACACTTCAACAGAAAAATGCACTGCTGACCTGAAGCAAGAGGAGACATTTATATAAAAATGTTAAACTCGATTTCAGTATTAAGGAATACACAATACTCAAAAGTTATTCCGATACCATAATAAAAACTCTTCAGACCAGGGGTGTCCAAACTTTTTTCATCAAGGGCCACATCTCTAAACACAGACGAAGCAGAGGGCCGATCGAGGGCCATAGACTGGTGTTCAGTACAGGGAATAATTGAAATGTGTGCATTTTACGTTAGAATGAGCCATCAGTCTTTATTCATGCTAAGATCCTTAAAACTGCACACTAAATATTAAATATTAGCTTTATCAAGGTAGATTTTCAAAAATCTTGCAGTAAAAAAATATTTTTTAATTGATGCAAAGTAATTTGGGACAATTCACCTGGAAGTCTGAGGGCCAAGAAAAATTTGTCATAGGGCCATAGTTTGGACATGCCTGCTTTAGACCATAGTGATTTTCAACTTTTTTTTTTTTTTTTTCACCCAAGTGGCTTCGTCTGTACTGACAGGGATCAACTACCACATTTTCTGGGCTATTCGGCGCGCTCTTAAGCCTCTCACCATCAAAAAACGATTGCGCGCTCTGCAATCCAGAGCGCCCTATACATGAATCCACTCGGGTGAACCCTAACCCAGCACGACTTCAGTAAACTACAAAGCCGCACCACCCGCAGCGTACGCAAACCGCACAGCGAAAAACACCCACAGTCACACTCATCACTCCACGCGGACGAGGAATGGAATGGAGGAACGAACCAAAAAAGCGAGTCCAATGTGCCACTTCTAACCACAACTGAACAACTGAGTCACTGCGAACACGCCAACAATCCAGCGGAAAGCCCTGAGTCACCGTGAACGCCACAAACAAAGTCTGACTGAGCCATTGAACTGTTGTGTTTCGTTTAAGTCCGGTGCGGTTTATTTGTGAAAAAAGTTCGCAAATAGACCATTTAATGACAATGCGTTTTATGATCCAGAGCGCCTAATAGCCCGGAAAATACGGTACTTGAAAAAAGTACTTGGATAATTGGCAGAAATTATTTACTCACAAACAACTTTTGTCCGGTTGACAGTTTTAAACAAAAATAATAAATAAATAGGTGAATAGATAAATAAATAAAATAGTTTATTGACAAATCTAAACCTTCTTTTACTGGGTGACTGAGGGATTCCACAGATGGTTTCTTCTCGCAGTGACACTCAAACTGGACATTGCCACAGACCTCCTCCTAACGCTCTGGTCCCATGTTTAGGGCTCGTGTGGCTCCTGCTGGGCCTTCAGCTCGGCCGGGGCTCTGGAGGGGCAGTTGGCCAAACAGACGGGTCAGCTGATGGACCTGAGCCCTCAGAACCTGGTGGACTGTGTGACGGAGAACAGCGGCTGTGGAGGGGGATACATGACCAACGCCTTCAGATACGTGGAGCAGAACGGAGGTATCGACTCCGAGCAGGCCTACCCCTACGTCGGAGAGGTACACACACATGCACGCGCACACACACACACACACACACACACACAGAAAAGAAAAAAAAGAGAACAATGTCTACTATGTATACTGTCAGTAAAAGCCCAGTGTACGTTTTTGACCAAAAATAGACAAAAGTATAGGCATGTTTGCTTCTATTGCACTGAAAAGCTTAAGAGTGGGCTTGCATCTCCACAAACCTGACACTTATGTGGCCTGGAGATGAGCCTCCTCCTTCTTGTTTGCATCTCAGTGTTATACCTTTGGCTATAACCTGGCAACAAAACATATCTTTATCTATTTCCATCAAATTAAGAAAGTGACGTACCACCTCCAGAAATGTACAAAATGCATAAAGTCACAACTGATATAAAGTTAGTGTCTACTCGTTCATAGGTGATATTACAATCATTTGGCTAAACTTTTTAAGACACAAATGTCCAAAAATCCATTTAGCCTGACTCCTTATCATTAGCATTAACCACATGTCCTCTGTGTGCAGGATCAGCCGTGTCGCTATAACTCCAGCGGTATGGCAGCCCAATGCAAAGGCTTCAGAGAGATCCCTGTGGGCAACGAGCACGCACTCGCTGTGGCCCTGTGGAAAGTGGGGCCAGTGTCAGTGGGCATCGACGCCACTCTCAACTCCTTCCAGATGTACCAGAAAGGTCTGCAGTTACTCCAGTAGATCTAATTACACTCAAGGTGTCATTCAGAGAAGGAATATCTATTTCAGTCAATCAACATTACTCTATTTGTCCCCAAAGGTAACTTAGGGCCTGTTTACACAAGAATGCTTGTGGATAAAAATAACAAAATATTTTATTGTAAGTGCCTTTTGTTTAGACTGTGATGGCGTTTTGGGGGCTTAAAAACGCAAAAACCTGAAACCAATTTACAGAGTGGAAAAGATGAATACACTCTGCCGTAGCCTTTCCGTCTACTCTGCCCAAGACGCAAAACTCTGGTCAGATCACATACAGTACACAGAAACCTGGCATGCATGCCCAATCAAATTCCACACACTTCTGCATCACCGTATGCACGCAAATTTCCTCCTAAAAACGCTCGTCTAAACACAGAATAAAAAGTGAAGATGCGACGCCACTTTTGCGTCTTCTGTTCAGACCGTCTTCATATAAACGTAGCCTTAAGCACATTGTGCAGTAAATACATTAATGATAGAAAAGCTGAAACAAAAGACTCAGTGCAACTTAACAATCAGGGTGATCAGATCCAGAGTTAGGCCAGTTTGAGGAGAGTAACAGGCGTCAGGACAAAGCCCTCCTCTGTGTCTTCTCTATCCTTTGTGTAGTCTAGAAAAGCCTCTTCGAAGCCTCTCTCTGACTTTGCTCTGTTGTTTTTGTCTGTGATGGTTTAGGACGTGAAGTGCTTTTCTTGGAACATCTGCCATATTTGGTGTAGAAAATCTGTAGTTAACTGACTAGCATAGCTATGTCCAAGCAGGGTCCCCATGAATACAGGACAAATAAACTGCTCAAATCAAACTGCTGTCCTTTAAACTGCACAAGCTGCACTTCTTAAGGCAAAATTTTAGCTCTTTGTCAACTCAGCGCACACTGCCATCATTGCCTTGCCACCGTCATTTTTGATTTATGGATCTGCATCAAGGTCTATGCACCTCGAAGTAATTCATTGTCAAAATGCTAGCAGACTAAGATTTAAAACAGGTGTTTGTGTATACAAAATGAAGCAGGAAAGCTGAGTACCAGAAATGTATGTAGAGCGATGGTGGAGAGGACCAATCATAGTCCTTATTGTCTGCGTTGCTGCCCCCTGCAGTCTGCGTCATTTTCGTTAGTTAGTTAGAAGATTTTGGAGGTGCACATCGGTCAAACCAAACATTCTGTGGAGGGGTTTCAAAGCAACACAGACTCTCTGTGTCGTGATGCAGACGATTTGATGCACAACCATAAATTGGGCTTTAGTTGGTCAAAATCCCCAAAATTTAAGTTAAAAATGTAAGATGTCAAGATATGACATGTAACATCTATGTGTTCCCAGGGCTGACAAGCTTTACAAGTTGGATTTTTGTTTTATATTTTAATAATAGGATTCTGCTGGCAGGCAAATAAAGCTGAAATATGAAATGACAAACTAAGATAAGAGTGTCAGGACATGTTTGTACAAATCTAAACTGGAGAAATGTTTGTGGAGAATAGAGAATTTCTATTTGTTGTAAGCCAGGAAAACATCCAACTGGTATTCTATTTTACATACTAGTGTTAAAATAGAGTGAACCCCAACTCAAGTAGTTATCTTAAACTTGCCATCATTGTATTTGGTTGCATGAAACATAATGTCTATGGATATATGTCGATGCTCTGCTTGGAATGTTCCACGGTATGACATTAAACAGCTCTACCTTACATTTATTCAATTACAGGCGGATTTATAGCTCAAAAATACCTAGAAAAACAAGCATTCTGACTGTGAGCGGGATCGCCTCTCTACAGATCTGACCTGTAACTTGGTCTTGTTTGGTCTCCATGATGATAAAAAGGTTAATACCATATTGTGAAACATTCCAGAGGTGAAGATAGAATTAGAAGTTAGAGAATTTAATAAAATATACAGTTCGTAAAGTCTCCTCTGAAGTGTGCAGTTCACTCAGATGTCACGTGTCTTATATACCCAGGTGTGTACTACGATCCGAGCTGTAACCAAGAAGACATCAATCACGCCGTGCTGGCAGTGGGCTTCGGAGTCACCGTCAAAGGGAAGAAGTACTGGATCGTAAAGAACAGGTGAAGCAGCAGGTGGCTCACGGGGACCACGAAATGAAACACGCCAGGGTGGACTTTGTTATATATTTCTGTCAGCCACGTTTGTGACAAGATGATGGAGGTACACTGGAGCCTATAGGCGTGCCCGTTCACCCTACATCTACAGTAGAACAATACAACATTCAGTCTCAACTGATCTCACACATTTTACCCTGAATTCCATAGATTTACCATTATAAATCTATTATAACGGGCAAACAGTCCATGATCATCTCTAAATGAACAAACTCTCCCACAAATACTACACTAGAACTTTGGACACAACGAAATCCAGGCGCTCCAAAAAAGTAAAAGTTGCACAAGTTAAATTTCCTTTATTTAAATGGCCAAAGTCAACATGTTTTGAAACGTGACTGGTCTCGATCAGGGCTTAGTTAAAAATTGAAGCATGGGTGTGGCTGTTAAGAAAATTACTATGAAATTTAACTAGACTAGAACTATTCCCACACTCATAAAAGGGTTTGGACAGATAACTGTTCTGGCACAAATGCTAATAATTGATTCACAACTTAAGCATCACACGCTATAAAGAATAATTAAATATATTTACTGCTTTACAGCTACTGTATGTGTCTTTACAATTGATTATGTTCTTGTAGTATCTGCTCTGACAGTTAAACAGATAAAGCTTTGGAGTTTGAGAAATATTTACATTAGCAATTCTAGATTCAACAAGGCCACGTGTGTCTTGACTGAGTGGTGTCGTAAGAAAAGCATAACGAGACAACAGAGGTGGAACCAAGTCTTTGTTTTGCAAGTCTCAAATAAGTCTCAAGTCTTTGAGCTCAAGTCCGAGTCAAGTCCCAAGTCAAAAACAGGCAAGTCCAAGTCGGGCCTCGAGTCACTGGCCCATAAAGTCCAAGTCAAGTCCAAGTCATCTGCTTTGAGCTTCTAGTCATTTCAAGTCTTAAACCAAAGTACCAAATATAGTTTTGATTTTTGCAATTTATATGAATTTTTAACTAAATTGTACTTAAAAAGTCATGGTATTTTATATATGAGTATTTATATAAGAATTGTAGAAATGCAACTTTTTCCTTTTTAAACATCTTGACAAAATCTTAGTGTGAATCTTTACGGTCAGAATAGAAAGAATTAAGATTTTAAAGTGCTTAATATCATTTATTTTGTCAAGTAGTTCTCTGTAGTTCCCTCTATGTTACTGTGTTGTACTGTATATTACTGTAGTACATTTCAGGATACCATATCACTGTACTCCAGTTCCATCCAAAGTACCAAATAGAAAAGTGGGAGGGACATGCTCCAGTTTGTACCGGTATAATTAAGCACTCCATGTATCAAAGAGGAAAATATTTTCTAAAAACATATATTTTTTTAGAAGAAGCATCAAGTCTTCTCAAGTTACAGGCCTCAAGTCTGAGTCAAGTCCCGAGTCACTGACCTTCAAGTCCAAGCCAAGTCCCAAGTCTTAGTCCATTTTATCAAGTCAAGTCTCAAGTCCTAAAAATAATAACTCAAGTCTGACTCAAGTCCCACCTCTGCTAGACAACATTATAAATCAGACATGCCAAACAAACTCAGGCCCGGGGGCCAAATTTGGTTCTCGATATAGTTATATTTGGCCCACGAGATTATGTAAAATATTTATTAGAGCTGCCCACTGCACACAGATAGACTATAGAGACATTATTTATTTAAAATGTTGTTACTATTTTATATTTATTCCTGTTCTGGATTCAGTGTTTAAGCAAAACATTTATTTTAATAAGAAAAGGTTTAACATTACATATCTCAAAAGTAGAGAAAACATGCAGATGTTGAAGAAAGAGTATTTAGTTTGGCCCACGACTTAGTCACAGTTTGTAATTTTGGCCCACTGTGAATTTGAGTTTGACATCCCTGTTATAAATGATAAAGTAATGTGCAAATTGCATAAAATAAAAACAAATACACAAGATACAGGCTTTTCCCCCATATTGTTAAAGGCCCTATATTACTCAAAATTGACTCTTGAGTGAGTTTTAAGCCATGTGTGAATATTTTTACCTTCTCAAAATCATACCTGGAGCTGTGTTTTGTTTCATTCACAAATGTTTGAGTAATCCTTATTATTAAACTTGTGATGTCATGAAGCGATAGTTTTCAAGTTAACAGCTACCTTTTACCTTTTGTTCAGTAGAGATTGGAAACTCCAGGGTTGTCCAAATTATTCTTATATAGTTAATGTGTATGAAGTTTAAAACACAGTGGAGCACTTCATGTATTATCACCTCACATCACAAGGTGGAACAGTGTTTTCTGGAGACCTCTACTAAATAAGCAGGGTTTGTGTGTTAAACATGTGTGAATGAAACAAAACAAAACTCAAGTATAGGAAACATTAAAACATCAATGAGAAAATAGATCGTAATATGGGCTCTTTAACACCAAACTGAATGATGATTAGTGCAGCCAATTATTTGAGCCAAGTAGTAGTGTCAAAAAATTCAATAACATTCTTCATAGACACTCCTTCTAAAAGACCTGTTTAAACTCTGCTAATGAATACTATTGTTTCTCTTTTGTGTGTTCAGCTGGGGAGAGGAGTGGGGCAACAAGGGCTACATCCTGATGGCACGTAACCGCGGCAACCTGTGCGGTATCGCCAACCTGGCCAGCTACCCCATCATGTGATCATCCACGCATAGGCTCCAGCGGGCAATGCTCCAATCAAAGAACTGTACAAGTGAAATCTGCAGTGTCCCAAAGCACCAGGAGAAACAAGTCCATAAAAGCAGATGACATGAGAATGTCAAAAATGAATGTCAAATATGTTTTTGTTGTTGTTGGTTTTTGTTTTAATCAGACATGCATTTAATATAATTACACAGAGATACACTCATCTACCTTTTAGATCAATTCAATTCAGAAATTTGTTCTTGAAAGATTAAATATTCGTATTATGTAGTGTGATGTCCCTTATTATCTGTGACAACGCAAATTTTGAGCCCCGTGTCCCATCAGACTGATCCAAAAGAAGAAAGATAAAACCAATCAATCTTGCTTTGCCTGGAATGTTCCACAGTATAACATTAAACAGCTCAACCTTACATTTATTCAGTTACAGGTGGTTTTATAGCTCAAAAACACCTAGAGATACAGGCTTCTGACTGTGAGTGGGGTCGCCTCTCCACAGACCTGACTTGTAACTTGGACTGGTTTGGTCTCCATGAAGATAGAAAAGTTTAATACCATGCTGTGAAACATTCCAGACAAAGCAATAACATCTCCATGGAGAAAAGCATTTATTGGACCCTCCACCAGAAAAGTTACTCAATGTACCTTTAATTAAAAAGAATAAAATGAATGTGGTAGTGAAGAGCGTTGCTGGGCAATGACTCGATTTGTCAGTCTGAAACTCTGCTTTGATACTTGATATTTTATGGTGACTGTGTTTTTATGAATTTTAATAAAAGTTTTGTTTGAACCAACATTTAGTACTGAGTTGTATGTTTTCCTCCTGTTACGAGAATGTCTAATAAACAAGGCATGATGAGGCCTGCTTGTTGTGTGTGAATCATCATGTGTCAGTTTAACACACTAAACAGAGCCCACGCTGAAGCAGATTAAACAGACACAAGTTCTATGGGGCACTTTGGGCATGTTGTGTAACTGTGCCACGATTCAACTCTTAAACAAGGCAAAGGCCAGTGGGCTAAGTACTATATCATGTTATCACTCAATGCATGACAGAGGGAACAACATGGCTCTGGGGGTTTAATATGAATAAATTAATATATTTTATATCAATAATGAGTTTTTCTTTGCACTTTTTGTTATTTTTCTGTACTATGATGTGATTTAAGCTGTAGAAGCAGGAGCATAGGACTGGAGAAATAATGAACTTCTTAGATTCATTATAGATGCAAACTAGCTACTTTTTTATGTACTTTATTCTCTAGCTAAATTGTCCTCTGCATTTGACCCATCCAATGCTGCTGGAGCATCTCCTCATGGTCAAGATCATGGAGCAGGATCTTGTTGCTAGGCTTGGTCAGGACTATTTTGGCTGAAGGGTTTTGCATGTTTTGGGTTGCTGAGAGAAAGCAGGATGCCCAGACACAGAAGAACATGCAAACTACACACGGAAAGGCCCCAGAGACCCAGGAATCGAACACTGAATCTTCAGTGCTTCAGTGTCAAATCTGAGTGCTAGCCACTTAAGAGTAGCATTCTAATAATCATTTATTGTTTTGATTTTACAGTATTGTAGATTTAGAATACTTTTTGGGGGATAATTCTGCTTTGGTTTTGGTATTCAAACTTTGTTATCATTATCATTTGAACTGTATGGGTCTTTCTGTGAAAGTGTGATCAGCTCAGGAGCACTGATCTTCACCGGAACATAAATCATAGAGGACTTCAGACTCTGTAATCACAAACCTGGAGTGTAAATATTGATAATCCCACGGGATTCTGATGTAATTTGCTCTCTTGGTAAGAACAGATTCTCTGGGGTCATGTGAGTTTATCTATTTACAGAGTGAGGTTTTTATGACCAGTTGTGGAGACGACAATAAAGGTATTGTCTTTTTGTAAAACTAATTTAGGCTAAAACTGTTCAGGTTAACAGTGTATGTTTCAGTGTTACAGAATGCTGCTGGTTCACCTGAGTCTCCCAGTGGAAGACCAAAACCTGGACAAAAAGTTCAAAGAATGGAAGATAAAGCATGGCAAAGTGTACAGCTCACCGGTCAGTGTCAGTTTGTAACTTGTAGCATATGTGAATATTATGTATAACACATGTATATTTGTATGTTTGTGTGTTTCTGTGTGTGTTTAGGTGTCAGGAGAAAGAGGCTATGTGGCAGGGCATCTGGGAGGAGATGCTTAAATGGGAAGAGGCCCATAACAAAGAGGCAGAGCTAGGACAGAAGTCGTACAGAGGGGCTTGAACAAGTTCAGTGATCGGGTGAGTTTCAGACAGAAGTACACACTAAACATGGTTTAAAAGAAAGTCATGTTTGACCAGACCAGTCCAAAACCCCTGCTTCCACTCTGTACTGCTTCTTGAACCCAGAAACTTTTCAAATTATAATTTGCATCTTAGAAATATTAATGACTGTTTGATACATTTTGTTCACACGTGTAAAGACTGCCTGCCTCTTGTAGACCGATGAAGAAAGAAGTAAACCCTGTGGTGCTGCTGATCTGACTCTGGACCAGCTTCTGGACTCTGCTGAGGAACGACACAAACAACTGCACCGGCCTTGTTGGGGAGGGGCAGCTGGGGGAGAGGGTTTCACTGTGAGATGCTGAATTTCTAACCTGAAAGTGCGACCCTTCATGCCAACTTAATCAAATTGAATGAAGAAAATGGTTCTACATAGAGCTTAAAATTGAACATCAACAGTTTACACTGTATCTGACAAAAACCCATTGACAAGATTTGTCAAAAATCAACATGAACGTGTGAAGAATCCCTCAGTCGTCCAGGTAGAATCCATGAGGAGAAAAATTCAGTTTGTCGACTGGACAAAAGTTAGTTTGGTTGAAGACGTTTCACAGCTCATCCAAGCTGCTTTTTCAGTTCTGGTCAGACGCTGGTGAACACTTCCTTATATCTGTCTGCAGGGAGGAGCGAACTAACTGAAACTAACACCTACTTGTTTACAGTTTCTGTTTGTTAATTAGGCCTATTGACCTGTACAGGGTGTGGGGTCTAAATAGCATAACAATTAATGTCCATAATGGAGCTTCCACACCTCTGGGCCTGACCTGGCTGCACCTATTGTTCTCTTGTTTGTTTTGAATAAGGTTTGAGGATGGAGTTGTAAATAGGAGATATCTCCTATCTCCTATTTACAACTCCACCCTGTACAGGTCAATAGGCCTAATTAACAAACAGAAACTGTAAACAAGTAGGTGTTAGTTTCAGTTAGTTCGCTCCTCCCTGCAGACAGATATAAGGAAGTGTCCACCAGCGTCTGACCAAAACTGAAGAAGCAGCTTGGATGAGCTGTGAAACGTCTTCAACCAAACTAACTTTTGTCCAGTCGATAAACTGAATTTTTCTCCTCAACAACATGAACACTTCATTTAGTCTTTAGCATCTTCTTTGGGCCAATGTTAGGTTTACTTAATATTCTGATGCATACAGTAACAAGAGAGCAACTTTTTCTCATATTTTATAGATACTGTGTTTTTATGAGTTTGAATAAAAGTTTGATTTTGCACCAAACTACTGTAAGTCTGTGTGTCTCTTCTGTTAACAGTTTGTGACACAAAATGAATGAAGGACTCCTGAGAGACAACAGATGAACAAAACAGGTCCTCATCTCTTCCAACCACCAAACTATAGTTGGAAGATAAATAAATATCATTGATGTGGATCTAAACTATGGAGTCCCCCAGGGTTCAATTCTCATTCCCTTTCTTTTTTGCTCTGTCCCTTCTCCCACTGAGAGAAATCTAATAAAAAACACAGCATTTAATATCATCTTCATGCAGACTACTGCCAAATTTACCTTCCACTCAAAAAAACTAGCTTCTGCCCCCAGTGCCACTCCTTCAATGTCTTAGTGAGTCAAGGCTTTTTTGGCCCACGACTTTTTAAGTGTGAAGTCTGAAAAGTTATTGAGTTTGGCAACACTAACCCCCTCACTGACCTGAGCCCAAACAAAACACCGACCCCCTCACTGACCTGAGCCCACACAAAACACTGACCCCCTCATTGACCTGGGCCCACACAAACTACAAATAAAACCCTGTTTCATCAATCTTGCATCATCTAAACAATGATTTAAAATTTTAAGTGAATGCGGTTGTCAAATCTGGCTTTAATCGTTTGCATTTTTTTATCCGAAGTTCAATCTTTTTTATCCTTTAAATCATTTAAACAGTTTATGCACTTTTCTCTGGCATCAGCAATAACCCTGAGTTGATTTTAAGATTTAATTGTTATTTTTTTCTATTTTTGCTACTTATTTTTTACTTATATTTATGATTATTGTATTACCTTTTAAATACTTTGTTATTATATTATAATATGATGTGTGAGCTACTGTGCCCAAATCATTTCCCTTGTGGATCAGTAAAGTTTCTCTAAGTCTAAATCTAAGTCTAAAGCTTTGAATGGACACAACACATCTCGGAGCTCATCCAAATGTATATCCCACATGTGCTTTGAGGTCTGTGGGCCAGCTCCAGCTCATGGTGCCCAAGACCAGAGTTAAGACCAGGGGGGATATGCCCCCCTCTCCCCCACATCTGAATGTGATCTTTATATGTGCAGCACTTTAAACTGTTATGTTTATAAAATGTACTTTATAAATAAAGTGGATTTGGATGGTCAGTGTAACATTTTATTTTATCCAGATGATAATCCAGAAACAGATGTTGTATTTGCTAAATTTTCAGCAACTTCCTTAGGTATTTATTAAAAAAATAAATAAATAAATAAACATCCATGAAATTGATGGATGTTTATTTATTATTTTTTTTTTAATAAACTTAATTTCAACTGTAGTGTTTTTCACTACAGCCTACATTGTTTAATGTTTGTGGACTTCAAACCATATGCAATCAAAAATCCTTAGTCCAAATATTTACTATGACAGAGGGATGTATTTTGTTGGTAAATTAAGAGGCTCCTCCTCTATATCTCTTCATATAAATAAGAGCGTTACTTTGTGACCAGTCACAGAGGACCTACAGAGGTGTACGATAAAGGTAACTACAACCTTTTCTGTTACTTCTCTCTATTTACTGTAACCTAAATGTGTGTTCATTTCGTTTTTTCATAGCATACAAGAACAGAAATTTGTCCTGTACTTCTTTAATACCCAAACTCCAAACCCTTTATTTAAGTAGTTACAAGTATTCCTTGAACTACTCATTTGTTCATGCTTTATTAGGACTGTAAATAGTGTGTTTGTTATACAGTATTTTCATTGTGTGGTGCCTCTCATTATGTTTCACTGAAAAGTAAAGGCAGAATTAATGCAGAAACCCAGTGCAGTTCAACTGATCAGGAGTCATTCTGGAGGTTAAGTCTGTGTTCACACACACTTTGAGTCCTAATGTAGACTAGACCAGGTCCTGTTCCAGTCCTAGTCTAGTTCCAGTTTAGTCCCAGTTTTGAAGTCTAACAGTGTATGTTTCAGTGTTACAGAATGCTGCTGGTTCACCTGTGCACACTGCTGCTCATCAGCTCAGCGCTGAGTGTCTCAGCGGAAGATCGAGACCTGGACAAAGAGTTTGAAGAATGGAAGACAAAGTACAACAAAGTGTACAGCTCACCGGTCAGTGTCAAACTATCAAGGCCATTTCTCTTCTTTATCCAGATTCATTCTTTTAGATACTTCAAATCCATGTATGATTTGTTCTTTGATTGTTCCATTTTGAATGAAAGGCCAAAACAAAATCAGATTTTCAATTATAAACAAAATTACAGAAAAACTTACATTTCTGTGTTTCTGTCCTTTGCTTAATCTTTTGATTTCTATGTAACTTTATTGGGAGATGGAGTTTTGGCCTCAGATCCACATGTGCCCCGGGTACCAGCATAACACAGAATCAGCCTCTTGTCTTCTAGCACCTTTCAGACACTATAAACCAGGGGTCTCCAACCTTTTTCTTCAGTGAGCTACCTTGACAAAATAAACATTCCAGAGAGCTACTTGTTTTAGAGCCATGGCAAGATGGGGTACAGTTGGATAAAATATAGAACATAAAACATTATTTATTTATGAGTGCACAAAGTCAGGCTTCAAAATGATAGATTTACAATAATAATAGGTATAATTAATCAAATTTGAGTTATACGGGACAGTATGTGGCATTCAGAAATCCCTTGGCGAGGGGTGGAGAGCTACTGGTAGCTCCTGAGCTACAGGTTGGAGACCTTTGCTATAGTCCACAGTTAGTCCTGTACTGGTGTGTTAAACAACACACAGGTTTTCATTTGTGCGAGCTCAAGTGAAGACAGCATTTTTGCATTTATGCAAAAGTCCTGACAAGGCGCTCATCACACCACCTTGCTGAAAAGTAAAGACTGAACGCCAGCTCTGTGAGAACAGGAGCAGAGGTCACTTCCACTGTCCACACACTGTCCACACACTGTCCACACACTGTCCACCCACTGGACACACACTGTCCACACACTGGACACACAGTGGCCCACATGTCAGTGTTGCACCTTTTGTCACCTGCTCACGTTACACAAGAAACACTATTGACCTGCCTCCCTCAGATGTGTAATGCTCCACACTGCCCAAGTGCTTGGGTGTGACTGTGGAGAGGCTTCCTGAGGCTGTGTGTTTTTAAGTACACATGATGCAGTAGACTTGTAAACTGTAGGTGCACGTCTGTTTCTCCCTGAGACCCTGTCTCTATGTGTGCCAATGTCCCACTTTCACTAAAGCAGCAACTATAATTCCAAAGACTTTTCTGGCAAATCCAGGCCAAACGGTTCAAGGTCCAAGCAGTTAAACTGAAACGTCGTATATCTGTGAGCCAGAGTAAATCATGAAATTAGCCATACACAAACCATTGTTATTTTTATTGACAGCAAAACAGGACAAAAATGTGACATTGAATAAATATAATTTCTCTGATGAGAAGCTGTAGTTATTGTTTATTATGTATTCATGGGGCCTGGTAATACTTGTTTATGTGTCTTGTTTATATGTTTCTCTCTGTGTGTGTCAGGAGGAAGAGGTGAAGCGCAGAGCCATCTGGGAGGAGACACTTAAAGGAGTGGAGGCCCACAACAAGGCGGCTGACGAGGGTGTGCACTCGTATCGGCTGAGCATGAACCAATTCAGTGATCTGGTGAGTTACAGAAACCTGACTCTTTGACTGTAATCTTCAACCATATGGCATAAAACAAATCTATCTCCATGGATTATATATGGTTTTAGCTTTCTATTTCCATGGAATCATGCAGGAGACTTTCCAAACTCTGCACCACCCACATTTTCAAATATTGTTGTCTCTTGTAGACATTACAAGAGATACCCACAGGCTTAGTGTCAAGCCCTGATGACAGCACCAGCCTGAACACCACCAGCCTGAACACCACCAGTACCAGCCTGAACGACACCAGCCTGAACAGTACCAGCCTGAACGACACCAGCCTGAACAGTACCAGTACCAGCCTGAAGCGACCCCAGCCCGAGCGACCCCAGCCCGAGCGACCCCAGCATTCTGTTAGTGGAAGAGAAGGTAGACACCGACGAAGAAGATTTCTCTGTAATAAACAATAAAATACATTTCAAACAGTAAATGTTTTCCTTATACTAATCCATTGAGTAATTTTCTGTAATTTATGTTTTTAAAACTGTCTTTACTGAATACATTTGATTTGAAACAAATGTGATTTCCATCTGGTCAAATATTCACAGGAGGGTTATAGGTCTTTAGTCAATTCATCTTCTTAGTTAGTTTTAATTGACATATCATTTGATGTAGTCAGCTGGGCTGTCCTTAAACCATTGTTGTGGCATGGTCCATGCTAGTGAATTACATTATAAGGATTTATACGTAACAACAGCAAAAAGGAGAAGTCAGTGAGTTAGCAGACGAGTTATTTTTTGGTATTTACAGATGTGAACAAAATTGTTGGTACCCCTCTGGCAATGAAAGAAAGAAGAAAAACATTGCTTTTCACCTGTGGTTAAACAGAATTATTAGGAAAAACAAAATAATGAAACTGGCCTGGACAAAAATGATGGTACCCTGAACTTAATATTTTGTCACACAACCTTTAGAGGCAAACTCTGCAAACAAATTATTTCTGTGACTTTCAGTGAGACTTCTGCACTGGTCAACAGGTATTTTGACCCACTCCACATGAGCAAACTGCACTAGTTGTTTCTGGTTTGAAGGGTGCCTTCTCCAGACAGCATGTTTCAGCTCCTTTCACAGATGTTTAGTAGAAATGAGATCTGGGCTCACAAGAAGATCACTCCAGAACAGTCCGATGTTCTGTTTTTAGCCATTCTTGGGTGTTTTTAGGTGTGCGTTTTGGGTCATTATCCTGTTGGAAGACGCATGACCTACGACTGAGACCAAGCTTACTGACACTAAGCAACACATTTTGTTCCAAAATACCTTGATAGTTTTGAGATTCCATCGTACCTTGCACAGATTCAAAACACCCTCAGGCAGATGCAGCAAAACAGCTTCAGAACAAAACCAAGGATCCTCCATGCTTCACAGTAGGGACAGTGTTCTTTTCTTGGTCTGATTCACAAGTTCACATTTCATTTCTTTGGAGGTTGGTCTGGGCTCTTTGGTTCCATTCGTATGATCCATCTCTTCTATTTGTCATCAATTTTCCTCTTGCAGCTGCATCCAGGGAGGTTGGCGACAGTCCTGTGGACCATAAACTTCTGAAGAACATGTGTAACTGTAATCACAGGAACATCAAACTGCTTGGTCTTATTGTCTTTACCTTTAACCTGCTTCTCTATCATTTTCTTTCTAGTCTCCTGACACAGTTCTCTTTCTCTGGTCCATGTTCAGTGTTGTATCCATCATGTCTCCAAACAGCACAATGACACATGACCCCCTGTGATGCAGATTAGAGGACACACTGAAGTTTAACATGTTGCTATTGTCCATTTACTTAGAAACTTTTCTAGGGGTACCATCATTTTTGTCCAGGCCAGTTTCATTAGTTTTTTTTTTTTTTTTTTTTTTCAAGTTAGCTCAGTGTCCATTGTTGATTTTTCTTTCATTACCAGAGGGGTACCAACAATTTTGTCCATGTCTGTATATATAAACAGGCAGATTAAACCCTTGTTGCACAAGTTTAATCTGTATTTATATAAATACATTGTTTCCTAGTACTTTTTCAGCATAAATAGTTGTTTTTCCATGAACCCTTGTGCAAGTGTTGTCTTGTGAGTTTGGCAGAACAGATGTGAGAAGCAAGTTTTGTTTCATGTGCCATTGATTTAAATATCTTTATGCAGTGTTTCATATAAAACACACACACTTACGAACACACATACATTGCATTTTTGTTGAAGAATTAATTAGATGATTATATTTGTGAGCACAGTTTCAGTGTGGACCTACAGGCACTGGTGCAGAGAAGTGCACTGAGTGTAATGAACTTTTATGTTGGTCTAAAGTAAAAAAGAGCAATCTTTTATTAGCTGTATTCTGGATTAGTGCTCTCTCTCTTAATATACAGTATACCTGGACATAGATAACCCAGTTGCTGCTGTGTTTTAAACAGAAAGTGAGCATGGGGGCGCTACCAGCTCCACTGATTCTGACTCCACTTGACTTTACATAGAAAAATTGTCACCCCTCTTTCTGTAACTACTGCAGTGAGCCTCGTGATTTTGGTCTTAAAATGTCGGCATTAGCCCACACTACATGATCCTGGTATTTCTATTTAGCTATTTTGTCAGTAAATAAATTCCTAATATGGGACTCAACTCCAAAGTCACCCCTGTAACTGCTAGACTCGTGAGCCTCATTTGACTGGAGCTGAACACTATGGGTGACATCAGGTTCCCGTAGTCCACTTTTCTATACAGACTATGGTCGACCTCAAAGATATTATCTCACAAGCAAAAAAGTAATATGTGAAAGTCAATAGAAATCATAACACACACAGGACGTCTGTAAGATTGTAAATAAAGGAATGTCTTTTAAAGAAAGGGATGTCAGAAGGGGACTCCATCACCTGGGTTTTGGGTTTAAGAGTGCAGTTTAGACAAGGGCCAGGGTGAGAGTAGGTTTTATGGATTTACTTTCAAAAATTCAAATTTGATTTTTTCCCCCTTTATTTCCATGACTATTTTTATTTACACTACATATTCGGAGAGTAGCAAGCATAAAATAAACTCAAAATAACTCAAAACTGGTTTCAGATTTAAGATTTTTTATTTTATTTTTATTTTTTTAAGCCACCCTTTGCTTTGATCACTGCACTTTTTCTGACTCTGACAAGGCAGAGCTGTGAAGTGAAAACCATTTCAGGAGACTTCATCATGAGAGAAGGGCAAGCGTTTGGTTATAACTTCCTTCTGTATTTGTCTGTATGAATAGAAAATGTTGAAAATGATAAATAAAAAAAAAAAAAACACACACACATTGAAAAGGTGTGTCCAAACTTTTGACTGGCAGTGGCAAACAAGATGGTTTAGAGTTATCAGCCAAAACATGTTAAAAAGGTAAAAACATGTTCTAACTTTGGTTCTAAAACGAACCAAAGTTTGTGAATATAAATAAACTAAATGAATGTTTTTGGACTGATAAGGAGCCCAAATGTTTGATTCACTTCAGCTCGATTTGCAGTAGGTCAAACCTATTGGGAGCCCTCAGGGATGCCCTTTGTCCCCGATTCTGTTCATCATCTTTGCCTATTGCCCTGTCACCTGACATCAAAGTGAATGAAACAGTGACCTTCAAACATGATCAGCTTTTTTGTAAATATTTGCCAGACAATCGTGATGATGCAATTGGTAGGTTCACATATCCAACTATATAAACTAGGGTTTCTGAGGACAGGATCAGAGACTGGACACCACAAACATCAGTAAAGCAAAGCAAAAGTTATTTTAAATAAATACAATCACTCTGATCAAATTAAACAATTAATTTTTTTTAAAATGCTGTTATATATGTGTGAAATGGACACTGAGATGCCCTGTTTGAAGAATGGAAGCAGGAATTTCAGAAAGTGTGTTTTTGGGAGACTGTGTTTGATAAGAATTGACTCCATAAGTTCAGTGTTACAGAATGCTGCTGAGGGGCACAAAACAGAGTAGGATCGCCACTGTGAATAATGCTCTCTGTAAAACGTCTTTGTGACATGTGACATATGTCTGTGAAAAGCGCTATATAAATAAAAAACTTACTTACTTAAACAAAACACAACTCCAAATATGTTCGTGATGAGAAAACAATATTATAACATAAATCAGACTGGGGTGTGGGCCTGCACACCCTGCTATACGCAGGTGTCTCCTTGTATTTCATTTGTCTGATACATGGTCAATACTATATTTTCTCCTCTGTTATGGCTAGTATTATTTTTTGAATCTCATGGATAGCACGTAGCATTAAAGTACCTCAAAAAAGAATAAGTACATGAGATCTTTTACAGAGAAACAAAACAGATATTGCAATACTGCAGGAAACTCATTTGTTGGAGGGGGATGTTTATAAAATGCAGTAAATCTTACACTGTTATTACTTCCTGATCTTTCTCAAAGTAAGCTAGAGGTGAACTAATTCTCACCAAGCACACTTCAAATATCAAATATAGACTGTCAAGGAAGAATAGCTTATATTATCAGCAATAGATGGAGCAACAATTGCATTTATTGCTGTATATGCACCAAATGATTTTGACGTTGTTTTCTATAATAACCTAACTGATACCACACTTGAATTATCAGATAGGTGATTATTTCAATTTCTGTTTGGGGACACTCACTGGATAGAACAGGCATCAGTGAATCCAGAGATCAGTCACTAAGTTCCAGTGTTTTGAGAAGCTGGGCGTTAGATTCCTCTCTTTTGGATGCTTGGCACATTATGCACCAAAATGGAAAGATTTCACCTTTTTCTCGCCCAGGCACTGTTCCTTCTTTCGCATCAATTATAATTTTGTCTCGTCTAATTTATAAGACAAGACATTTGATCTGGCCTTACTCCCAGTGTCTCTTTCGGATCACAAGGCTGTGAGAAGGAAGGCAGTTTTCTGATTCAAGAAGAGCTCCATGCTAGCGGTTTAACTGCACACTTGTGGAGAATGCAGATTTTGTAACACAAATGATAGATCATATAAATGAATTCACTATTTTCAATAAAGTGTCAGTGGATCATCCTGGAATATAGTGGGAAGCATTAAAATGCAGTATCAGAGGAAAAATATCAGCTTTGTTTCCAGCCTAAATAAATCCAGGCTCAAGCATATTCAAACATTAGAAAATGATACATTTTAGCAGTAGACCACCTTTTGATATCCAACACCTCTCCTGATTTAATCTTCAGGAAAGAGTTACTTCATAAACAACTTTACCACTTACCACAAGAGCAGATTTTTTAAATACACCGTACAAGACAATATTTGTATTTTAACAGCTCCCAGCCAAGCTGAGAACTTGCTGTGAAACCCAAGACCTGTGAACATCTCTCTAACTATTTACACAATCAAATCTAATACAGACAAACTGACTACAAATCCTAAAGAAATAAATGATAACTTCACTGACTTCTACGCCTCATTATACACATCAGAAACTATTTTTAATGAGCAAGTAAACCTCAATTACTTAAATCCTCTGCACCTTCCTGTCTTCACAGGACAGGAACGTTCCAGTCTGAAGTCTCCATTCACACTCCCTGAACTTTTCCAAGCCCTTAAATCCATGAATTGGATAAGTCACTTGGATAGGATGGCCTGCCTGCAGAATTCTATTTGACATTTTGGTCCCAATTAAAACCTTTGCTCCATGAGATGATCCATCCCTCAATAACTAGAGGATCATTTAACAGAAGCACTAATATTGTAATTATTTCTTTATTGTTAAAAAAGGACAAGGACCCAACAGACTGCTCAAACTATAGACCACTCTCTCTGCTAAATACAGACATAAAAATATATGCTAATGTTTTAGCCTCCAGACTGGAACATCTTGTGAACAATCTCATCCACATATACCAGACAGGGTTTGTAAAAACTCACTTTGCATTTGATAACATGCACCGCCTGCACAGATTATTGAACACAGCCATAATCCCAACTCTGTGGTCCTTTCATTGGATGCAAAGAAGGCCTTTGACCACCTTGAGTGGTAGTCTGTATGGTCTATTCTCCTTCATATTGGTTTTGGATCTCAGTTTACTTCAATGATTAAAGTCTTGTATACAAATCCAACACCAGAGGTCCTCACAGGAAAGAACATTTCATGTAGCCTGTGGCTCATGTCAGGGATGCCCCCTGTCCTCTTTGCTGTTTATGCACTTTTCTCTGGAATCAGCAATAACCCTGAGTTGACTTTAAGATTTTATTGTTTGTTTTTCTATTTTTGCTACTT